TGTACCCTCCCTTCCCCATTTTATGTAAGCCGCCCTGAGTCCCCTCAGGGAAAAGGGCGGCCTATAAATATTAATAAAATCTCTAAATCTCTTTGCCATAGCCCTGAAAAGATTATTTATGACTTGTCCCGCACTTAGGACCATTGCAGCATTCCCCCTGGTCATGTGATCAAAATTCAGGAGCTTGGCAACCAGCATCTATTTATGATGGTTGCAGCCTTGTAGGTTCATGGGATTGCCATTTATGAACCTTCCCAGATGGAATCTGACAAGCAAAGTCAATGGGTTATGGCAGATTTGCTGAATGACTGCATGATTTACTTAACAACTGTAGTGATTAGTTTAAGTATGGCAAAAGATTGTAAATTGGGCTTGGCTCACTTAACAACTGCCTTGCTTAGCAGTGAAAATTGTGGTCCCAATTGAGGTTGTACTTTGAGGACCACCTGTACATAAATATATGCATTCATTCTCCATCCGAGATGTTCTAGTTCAAGACAGCTAACGCAGTTGTTGAATTCTGCTCTTCCCATTTTTCTCAGTGTGGATATTAGATCAAGGTTGTGGCAAAATAATCCAATTTATATATCCTATACTGTAGTACAAAATACTGATTCAGAATTATCTGCTTTTATGTTTCCTGATTCAGTTTTATATTGTGTTCCTGAATGGGATATGTTATCTGTTACTGTGCTAATAATACCTACTCTAGTTAATGACTCAGTCTATGGCAGGGGTGTCAAACTGGTGGCCCATGGGCCGGATGCATCATGCAAGGTCATGCCCACCCCAGTTCCACGAATGTGGAAACCGTCACGAAATGTCACATGACAGCAACGTGACTAGACAAGTTTGACAACCATGGTGTATGGTTTACACTCTTGCAACTGACGTTAACTTGCAAATCCTGCAGCTAAAACAGCTGGATTAATTTTGGATATTTTTAGTGGCATCTGTTGAAGGATAGGAGATTCTTGTCTACTGCAGCCCCTGAATATCTCCCAAGTGGATTGCTTCTAATAAACGTTTTGACTTCCTTTGTTATTGTTTGGGGTTTGTTTGTTTTGGTCATTTGTCACTTGCCCACTCAGTTTAGGAAGCATCAAGAGCTCCACAAATATTGGACAATTGAGGTGGGTTCAAAGAAAGGTAACCAACACTATGTACATGTAAACAGTTTCAAAATAGCTTAGTTATATAAGACTGAATTGACCAAGTAATCAGGAAAAGGCATCTATAACTTCCTTATTTTTAATTGCCAATAAATATTCTAATTTATAATCTATAACTGCTATCAATTTGAATCTGTTTACCCAAAGAGAAAAACAATTTGTTCTAGTAGAAACTTTGGCAAGAAGACTCAGTCTTGTAAGGACATTCAGATTGACATAACATCTGATGTTATGGCAAAAATTGAAAAATACTGAAAACAATATCTTTAACTGGTAAAATATGTTATATATTTCTAGGTACGGTCAATATTTATTTTTAAAGAAATATAGAAAATATTGCATTCTTTGGACAGACTTTTTATTTAATGTGTAATTAGTATACTTTATTTACATAATTTTTCAGGGGGCCAAGGGTTGATTTGATTTTTGCTTTTTCAGTTTCTCAAGCACATACATGAAAAAGGGGTAAAAGGAATATTTGCACAATTTCTTTTGATTGCTACATAGAACTAGAAACCTGTCATCTGGAAACAACTTAATTCATATAACTCACACTTTTTGACAGATTTGAGATTTGATGGCAGAATCTGTTTTCTCATTACAAAATGGTATTTAGAAAGCATATAGACAGTTACTGATAAAGTTATAATACATGGTATTATGCATGACATACAGGGGTGAGTTCCAGCACGCACTACTGCCTCTTTGCTCGTGGGCGTGCTGTGTGAGCCTGTGCACATACGCAGTACAATAAAAATTGTTATGTGCAAAAGCGAAAAACAAGATGCCGGCGGCATAGGTTCTGGGGCCTGGCAGGCCTGAGTAGCTGCCGGTTCCAGTGACCCAGGCTGCCAAACGACTACTGTTTCGGCCAAACCGGTCCAAACTGGTAGGAGCCCACCACTTATGACATGGTAAGACATGGTTTGCTTTATAAATCACAATGTGGATTTTTACAATAAACCAAACAAAACATGTATTTTGTGATTCAGGTTATGCATGTATGTAGTGAGGAAAGAACTGTGGGAACATTATGCACTTCTATAACTGTCTGGTTTGGTTCTGCAACCTAACAGGACAGACACAGACTTCAGAGGATAATCAGAACTGCAGAAAAAACAATTACTGCCAATCTTCCATTGAGGATCTGTATAC